TAAATTAGGTATTAGTAGAGTTATGAGAGTAATCAATCAACATATTTAACAGTACCTGACACACAGTATACATATAATTTTACATACATATGGATGTATATTTTTAATAATAAAATGTGACACACTGTTTTGCTTATGTCACCACATCTACATTTTACAAGCTGGATGAAAAGGCCTTCCTCAAAGCACCACCTATGGAAGAATGCACTGGAGTAGGAATTCTAAATGGCATGGTCTCCTAGGTGATCCGCTAAGTTCAACAAAGCATTCCCTTCCAAAGAGACTAGAAGCTCTAAGAAGCCTTTTTTTTCTGTTCCCTCTACTCTCATATAAAATTCTAAACATTACCCAAAAATGCTCATAAATAGTAAATGAATATATCTTTCGGGGGTTTGGGTAAAATTTTGTGGACACCTTTTATTCAAGGTTAAGAAGTAAAAGATCTCACTGCACAGGACAGATACTTCATGGATATGGAGGGCTGACAGCTCAGAGGAGAATAAACCTGTGTAACAGCACACTAAGTGAGACGAAAAAGCTCATTTCGATTATGATGCAAAAGCGGAAGGTGGTAAGCGCAGGCCTGCCCTAGGGTGGCAACAGTTTCTGTTTCTTAAGTCCTTTGAAAATACCACCTCCCATCAAGTAGGCCTACTACAAAGCAGCCAGCTATTTTGTGAAAAGGAGGCAGGGTAAAAAGTAAAAAAGTAACACATTTTAAAGAAGAAAGCAGGTACTGGGAATAATCTTTACAAGGAATAAAAATGAGGCCAAAGCAAAAAGAAAAACACCCTAAAGTGATGAGCTTTAGCTCAGATGATAAAGTTCACAACAACTTTTCTGCCTGGCAATCTGGCAAGAGATACTAAAAGCCTTAGGCATAACCTCTGACCCAATTCCACTTCATGGAATGGATCCTAAGTAAATAATTAGAGATAAAAGAAAAAATTTAGCTATGAGGATGTCCTACATAATGGCCAAGAGAAAAAAAAAAGATACAAACTAAGCTAATTAAATTAGTTCCACACAATGAATAATCTGTAGCCACTAAAAATGCTATGGAGGCATATTTACTGGCATGGAAAGATAGCCTTGATATGTTGTTGAGCAAAATGAGCAAGTAACAAAACAATATATAGTATAATGCCATTTTTTTTTTGCAATCTCTATTTCTCTTATTGATATCTATAGGACTGTATTTCCTACTTGGACAGTGGTTATCCCTGGCTGATGGTATCATGGGTGATTTAGTCTTTGTAGTTTTTCTCCATTTCCAAATTTTTCATTCTTATTACTATGGTATTAGCATAAAAATAACCTTTTGTAAAACAAAAGATCATACACTAAAAAAATGGATGAGCTATACAACCAAGGATGAATGCAAACAACTGCCATAGTCTTCTAAGGATGGCTAAAGACAAGAATAAGCTAAATATTTAATGTTTAAATGTTTAATACTTGTATGTTATGTCTCAGCAAGAATAAGTAAAAGCCTATTGGTTGAAGCATAATGGTATCATGTTGACAGATGAAAAAAGACAATAGGACAACCTCCAATGGGCATCCATTTGCTGGCTGGGCAAAGGTCTTCAAATGAGAACAGTCACAGTAAGTGCCCCCATAGGGACTGAAGAGGTAGTGGGAGACCACCCAACTGCCCTGGATGAATTTGGGTCTCTGGGACCCAGATGAATAATATCCCAGAGTCTTGAAGTAAGTCAGTAACATTACTACAAAATTGGTGCCAGCAATATGTGGGAAATCAGAGACCAGTTGAAGAGTTAGAAAATGGGAGAAGTGCCAATATTTGTTGTGTTAGAATCAGATGTAAAATCAAAATCTAGCTGCCTTTTCCTAGCTCTGCAGCTACATAGGGAATTTATTCACCTTTTTGAGCTTCAATTTCCTGATTTATAAAATGGAAATAACATATAACTCCCTGAGTGTCGATAAGGGGTAAATGAGATAATACTTGTAAAATGCCTATTTAGATGCCAGCACACAGAAGGCACTCAATAAATACATGGCAGCTACATACATATTTTTTAAAAGGCTGGGTGTAGAAACTAGGCAACTGTATGTTTAGCTTTATTTTATTCCTTAATTTTCCATTCACAATTTAAATGTAGGATTCTAGATTCATCCATGGGGGGCAGGCAAGAAACACTGCCACACCATCTGAAAGGCAGAGCTGAGAAAAGGCTGAAAGAAGAAAACACCCTCTAGAACCTGAGGCATGCAAAGAGCCACACCACCTGGTCCTTCTCTTCACTAAAATAGGGATTTTCCCTGGAGAGAATGAAAACAAATAAAAAACTGTAAGCTACTTAGTTTTTTATACTGACTCACAAGAATAAGCCAGAGATACACATTACAGCCCTGGAGTCTCTTCTGAGCTTTTGGGACTCTAGTTTCAAGCCCGCTAAGGAAGCACTTGCATAAGTGGTAGAAAGGAGGGATGAAAGTTAATGGTAAAGGAAGTCAGCTAAGAAACCTAAGCAGACAGTTTCTAGAAGTGAGAAGTATTTTCAGCAGATGAGAAAAGGAGAAAACAACAAATAAAACCCAAAGGCAACTGTTAGTTATCCATAAAAATTCTTTATCATTCCTGCTGAAAATGTATTGCCAGTTAACGGAGGATTAAGTTTACACATAAAAAGGAAATAAACTAAGCAATGCAAATTATAACCAAAGAGACTCACAAATCTTTTGCCATTTTCCTTTATTTTGATAGTATTTTCTAATCAGCTGCAAACAGCATTTTATCTAGAGGCTCATAGAAAGTGGTTACAAGACTGGGTTTGAGTCTTGGCTCCATCACTGCCACTGTGACCTAGGGAAACTCAACTTATCTGTGCTTCATTTTCCTCATTTGCAAAAAAACACAAAAAACTACTATTTCATAGGGTTGTTGTGAGGACTAGATGAGTTATAGATATACATACACAACAATGTTTGGGCACTATGTAAGTGTTTGTCATTATTATTATTTCCTTAAATTCTATGCTCTCACATTATCAAGCGAAAGTGGATTAAAAAAAAAAAAAAAACTCCATTACAAGTGAGAAGAAGAAAGAATGTGTCTCTAGAGGTCTTAACTATTCCATGGGTATAGAAATGCCAGGCCCAGTTTCATTGCTAAGATGATTGACAGCTATGCTGGCCTTTTATTCTGGGATATACAGCCAAAAACTTTATCATTTTTTCTCTCTATCCCAGGCTCAGAGTGAGATTTATACACGAAGATATTCAAGAAAGCATTAAAATTTTTTAACTTGAACTTATTATTTGTGAATAGGTAATACATAGACTTTGCATTAAATTGAAATAGTACAGAGCTTATAGGGAAGAGAAAATTTCCTTTCCTTCCTCTCCTGCTGCTGGCCCCCCAGTTCATCAGACGTTATGCTGTAAACCTGGTTTTCATCTTTCCAGAAATGAAGTATTATTTAAAATAGGGGAA